AAACACCACAAGGCAAAGACTTTTTGTGGCATTTATGAAAGGCAGTGATGGTAGTGCTTAAATTAACAAAAATAAATATGATTTTTAACGAGTCACAGTATGGCATTCATGATATATGTATCCATTCTCTATCAACTAAATTCGTTTTAAGGCGTCAATAGCGGTAATCTGACCGTGGTTGCTGTTAATAACGGTGAGTTGTGCGATCTTCCGATCGCTTCACACACGATCTCACCGAAATTAATTAAATGGAATTTTGAATAAAATTAATAAAATAAGTTACAAACATAGTCCAGATATACAAAGAACGCTTTTTATAGCCAGACAGTGTAATTACATGACTAATTTGCATACTCCAGTATGGATTTGTTGACATGGTATTTCCGATGTTACATGCTAACGGTACAGTCTTTTAAATTTGCATAAGGGAAAAAATATCAAAACTCATTAATTTGTGTATAATGCACACACCCTTCTACACAGCTGTGTTTTTTGGAAAAAAAGTGTGCACTATACTCAAGAAAATATGTTAATGCAAGAACTTATTTAGTCATATGTACATATTTAATTCTGATCATAATCAGTACACAATATTATAAAAGGTCTGAAAGAAAAAAAGTGACCACTAGAAAATGTTTTTACGGAACAATTAAGCAATTTTTTATCATACGTTCAGATATGATTTTTATAAACCCCCAAAAAGCATGATCAGATTCCGTAAAAATAAAAAAATAAAACATCTTCATTTGTACAACAAAGCAGTCTAATAGAAAATGTCAGATGTAATACAAATGAGGGATTTGTGAGCTCTGTACAGAGACAAATACGTTGACACTTTTTTCCGATTGTGCCATTTCTTTTTCTCCTCTGTTTGGTCAAGCAGAAGAATAAAACACCAACCGATCTTTGAACCAATAGCCTGGGGAGTTATTACACATCGTGTATTAGCTTCTTAACTTCACTAGGGCAGCTGGAAGAACGAAGAGGTTGATGGAAACTGAATGAAAGTATTGAATGTCTCCCTACATCATATCTTGTAGTCCCTCTGGAAGCCAATCTGGCAATGCTTGCGTAATATAACGGACCTTATCCGAGCTTAGCATCACTGTGATTCCTCAAAATATTCGTCAAGCAGCTTACTATGTTTGTTTTATCAATAGCTAGTTTTAATCGTGAGGACATTTTTTCATCTGTGGAGATCGGAAAGTAATGACAGATCACTAAATAAATATTTGATTTCAATTTTACTCAGCTTGCGGTAAATGCGTAATTTTCTGTGTCACTGATGTGGCTATTTATCAAGTTTAGCCATCATTTCCTCACAGCTTGACATAATAATGCCTTGATTGACGATTTCATACGTTATTACGACGCTAACGCTGTAATTTTATTTCCACACGTCTCTGAGTGCTTGTCCACGGATGTTTTCTCAATGGGCATAGATTTCTTGCGGGTTTTCCAATATTTTTCTAGATGCCCTCTTACGACAAGATTGTGACAACTCTAATGAATTGTCACGTTGAATTCCACTGCTCTTGTGTTGCCAATATTGTTAGCTTAACTTGAATTAATTCTGTGTACAGGGTAACTATACTTGTGTCATCTCTTCAGATGTTTCCAGACAATAAATATTTTTCAACATTACTCTTTAAGTCAATTGTGTTTATGAGATTTTCTTTATAAGGGAGTCTAATATTTTCTTTTTTCTGATATTGGAAATTCTTCTAAACAATGATAGTGTGAATTATCTTTCATGCAGAATATATTCATGTAATTTGTTTGGTTTGAACCTGTTTTATTGACATAGTCAAAAGAACTAGATAACAGTGAATCACTTAGTGGGGCCACTTCTTTAATACAGGGGCAGTCGGGTAGCCTAGTGGTTAAAGCGTTTGCTCATCACCCCAAAGACCCGGGTTCAATTCCCGACATGTCACAATGTATGAAGCCCATTTCTGGTGTCCCCCGACGTGATATTGCTGGAATATTGCTAAAAGTGGCGTAAAACCATACTCACTCACTCACTCACTAATACATTTATACATATGGTTACTATGTACTATATGGTCATGTTCATCACATATGTTAAGATAGGCGAGGCTGTATCTGTACCAGACATTTTCAAATGTACATGTCGTTTGAAATTACACTGAAATTAAGAAAGTACAGATTGTTTTCTGGATTTCTATTTGCATTTTGTCTGTTGTTTACTGTTTCACGTTTGTATTTTATTTTGAATTGGGTAAAGGCTCGGGGCAATGAGAAGTCCCAGTAAATGTGATTCATTCGGAAACCATTGGGTTGTCTACAAAATTGTGTAATGTCTGTCAATCTTATATGTCATGCCTATCCTAATTACATAGAGTGAGTGAGTGAGTTGGGTTTAACAGTGCTTTGAACAGTATTCCAGTTATGTCGCAGTATGTCAACTTAATGTGGAAACAAAGCCCAAAGTGATACAAGTCTCGGGTGAAACCCACGAGCACAGGCATAGTGCTGACCAAGCTAGAAAAATAATCGGGACAAACTTGGATTCGAACACACAGTCATAGGTTTCTGGTGTACCCATGGGACACAACAACCTTAGATGACTGGGCCACCTGTGCCCCCTAATAACATAGAGAAAATGTCTTAGTTTCACACATGCCACCAGATAAAGTGTCTCAACCCTGACTTCACATTAGATCATGGAAAATAATACCTTTTTAATTATGATAAGAATGGTTGGGTAGCCTAGTGGTTCAAGCATAGACAGGTCATCCTGAAGGCCTGTGTTTGATTCTGCCCATTCTTGGTGTCCACCGCTGTAATATGGCTGGAAATATTGATAGATCAGGATTACACACAACCACTAGAAACTTTTAGCTGACCCCAACATTTTTTAAACAAAGAGTATGCACTTTTATCTTCTGGCCGAAGATATGTATTGCCACAATTTGAAACAAGTAGAGCTCTTAAATCTTTTTTCCCATCAAGTGTCTGTGTTTTCAATGATTGCCAAGTTCTGTAATATTTGAATTGTCTCTGTTTGTCATGTCATTTTTGGTATACAATATGTCATCACTTCATATGTACAAAGAATTCCCTTGTGGGTCATAAAGAATTGCCATTGCCATTGCCATTGCCATTGCCATTGCCATTGCCATTGCCATTGTCTTTATAGGTATGAGGAAAAAGATATGAATTATTTTAACAAAATCACTTTTTTGCAGTCAACACCGTTGAGTAGAAGTTGAAGGAACCTACGTAAATACTTCGCGTTATCCGAAGTTCGACACAAACAAAACTGATGAATAAAAAAGGAATACACAGGGAGGAAGCATTTACTTCAAGACAACCGTACATTCAACACATAAACCTTTGACATATCGGTGTTTGACTGTAAATAAATTTAGATCATCATATGGTAGACAAAAAAATGTACATCAGTACCAAATTTTAGCCACCTAATGTTCACATATTCAACGCAATTAGAAATGTGTGTCAGTGGCAATAAGGGTAATTTATCGACTTGTTCAGTGACATTGTGCACCAGAGCAATGGTGAATGGTTTCAGCCTTCGTAATCAGAAAACTTCTATAAGGTTTGTCACTTCCTTCCTGAATTTATTTGAAGAATTTGTTCTCAGAGCATCAATTAGGAGGGCTATGTTACCTGTAAACTGGATTTACAAAATTTAATTTGTCACATGAGGCATCAACACAAGGTTTAAAATTCTGATTTATGTTGAAAACATCATGACGTTCTTTTATCGTGGACATTTTCAATTCAAGGGCAATCTAACCTTGAGACGGACATTTCTTATAAATAAGTGGACTTGCCCAGGGGTAGAAGGTATGAAGGTTGACTGATAAGTTCTCAGCCTCACATAGAAGGAATTGCATGTACAGTAAACTACGGTTAGAATGAACTCAAAGGGACCTATAATTCTAATCCATTATAGTTTGTTTGTTTCTTTGTTGTTTAATGCCGCACTCAGCAATATTTCAGCTATATGACGGCGATCTGTAAATAATCGAGTCTGGACCAGACAATCGAGTGATTGACATCATGAGCATCGATCCATGCAATTGGGATCGATGACATGCATCAACCAAGTCAGCAAGCCTGACCACCCGATCCCATCAGTCACCTCTTACGACAAGCATAGTCACCTTTTACTGCAAGTATGGGTTGCTGAAGACTTATTCTACCCCGGCTCTTCACACGTATAATTCGTTATAACCGTAGTTCATTATAAACACATATACAGCAAATGGCTGGGACAAAAAAGCAGTTTCTTATATCTGCCAGTTCGTTATAAGTGTGTTTGTTATAAACATAGTTTACTGTTTTGAAATCTTTTGTTTTTGGCATTGCTTGATGTCATGGAGGTGTATCCACAAAAACTTGAGTCAAAATGTTTCACTGTGACATAGGCAGTTATAATAGCAAAAAGTATTATCTGCAATTGAAAATGCCTAGCAAATGGAACTTGAAAACAATCCACTCTTATTTTCCCGAATGTGTTCGTTTGTAGTAAGGTTGATGTTAAAGAGGGGCATCAATTAGCCATCTCACAAACAGCTTGTGTAGGCTGGTGAAACACTCTACAAATACAATGTTTACTACTCAATTGTTTACTCTTTGTTTTATGTGTTTATGTGTTGTGCTGTGTGTCGAAATATAACATGTTTGTTGTTTAACACCACGCTCAGCAATATACCAGCTTTGTGACATTGACCTCTAAATAATTAAGGCTGGTCCAGACAAGCCAGTGTTCAATGTTACTAGCAATGATCCACGCTGTCAGTGAAGGATGACATGCTGTCAACCAAGTCACTGAGCCCGACCACCGAATCCTTATGACCGGCGTAGGTAGCCGAGGCCCTGTTTTAACCTAGAAGCTCCACGGAGTGGAATGAGATGTGGGCCACATGTAACTCTAAGTTTTTCCAGCCTTTTGCTGTGAGTCAGTGACAAAATCTCGCCATTGAACTGTATGGAATTTGTCTTTGTAGGTGTCATCAATCCTGGCTAGTGAAGTTCTAATCAGCCAGTCTGGCAAATTCCTCTACAACAAGCTGGTGTCACTGGTACAGAGGCACTACAACCTTGGGTCTACCACCGTTACAGGCATCCCTATGAAGGTGAGTCTTGTAGGACCCTAATACAGAGGCACTACAGCCTTGGGTCTACCACCGCTACAGGCATCCCTATGAAGGTAAGTCTTGTAGGACCCTAATACAGAGGCACTACAGCCTTGTGTCTACCACCGCTACAGGCATCCCTATGAAGGTGAGTCTTGTAGGATCCTAATACAGAGGCACTACAGCCTTGGGTCTACCACCGTTACAGGCATCCCTATGAAGGTGAGTCTTGTAGGACCCTAATACAGAGGCACTACAACCTTGGGTCTACCACCGTTACAGGCATCCCTATGAAGGTAAGTCTTGTAGGACCCTAATACAGAGGCACTACAGCCTTGTGTCTACCACCGCTACAGGCATCCCTATGAAGGTGAGTCTTGTAGGATCCTAATACAGAGGCACTACAGCCTTGGGTCTACCACCGTTACAGGCATCCCTATGAAGGTGAGTCTTGTTGGACCCTAATACAGAGGCACTACAGCCTTGGGTCTACCACCGTTACAGGCATCCCTATGAAGGTGAGTCTTGTTGGACCCTAATACAGAGGCACTACAACCTTGGGTCTACCACCGCTACAGGCATCCCTATGAAGGTGAGTCTTGTAGGATCCTAATACAGAGGCACTACAGCCTTGGGTCTACCACCGTTACAGGCATCCCTATGAAGGTGAGTCTTGTTGGACCCTAATACAGAGGCACTACAACCTTGGGTCTACCACCGCTACAGGCATCCCTATGAAGGTGAGTCTTGTAGGACCCTAATACAGAGGCACTACAGCCTTGGGTCTACCACCGCTACAGGCATCCCTATGAAGGTGAGTCTTGTAGGACCCTAATACAGAGGCACTACAGCCTTGGGTCTACCACCGTTACAGGCATCCCTATGAAGGTGAGTCTTGTAGGACCCTAATACAGAGAAACTACAGCCTTGGGTCTACCACCGCTACAGGCATCCCTATGAAGGTGAGTCTTGTAGGACCCTAATACAGAGGCACTACAGCCTTGGGTCTACCACCGCTACAGGCATCCCTATGAAGGTGAGTCTTGTAGGACCCTAATACAGAGGCACTACAGCCTTGGGTCTACCACCGTTACAGGCATCCCTATGAAGGTGAGTCTTGTAGGACCCTAATACAGAGGCACTACAGCCTTGGGTCTACCACCGTTACAGGCATCCCTATGAAGGTGAGTCTTGTAGGACCCTAATACAGAGGCACTACAGCCTTGGGTCTACCACCGCTACAGGCATCCCTATGAAGGTGAGTCTTGTAGGACCCTAATACAGAGGCACTACAGCCTTGGGTCTACCACCGTTACAGGCATCCCTATGAAGGTGAGTCTTGTAGGACCCTAATACAGAGGCACTACAGCCTTGGGTCTACCACCGCTACAGGCATCCCTATGAAGGTGAGTCTTGTAGGACCCTAATACAGAGGCACTACAGCCTTGGGTCTACCACCGTTACAGGCATCCCTATGAAGGTGAGTCTTGTAGGACCCTAATACAGAGGCACTACAGCCTTGGGTCTACCACCGCTACAGGCATCCCTATGAAGGTGAGTCTTGTAGGACCCTAATACAGAGGCACTACAGCCTTGGGTCTACCACCGTTACAGGCATCCCTATGAAGGTGAGTCTTGTAGGACCCTAATACAGAGGCACTACAGCCTTGGGTCTACCACCGCTACAGGCATCCCTATGAAGGTGAGTCTTGTAGGACCCTAATACAGAGGCACTACAGCCTTGGGTCTACCACCGTTACAGGCATCCCTATGAAGGTGAGTCTTGTAGGACCCTAATACAGAGGCACTACAACCTTGGGTCTACCACCGTTACAGGCATCCCTATGAAGGTGAGTCTTGTAGGATCCTAATACAGAGGCACTACAGCCTTGGGTCTACCACCGTTACAGGCATCCCTATGAAGGTGAGTCTTGTAGGACCCTAATACAGAGGCACTACAGCCTTGGGTCTACCACCGCTACAGGCATCCCTATGAAGGTGAGTCTTGTAGGACCCTAATACAGAGGCACTACAGCCTTGGGTCTACCACCGTTACAGGCATCCCTATGAAGGTGAGTCTTGTAGGACCCTAATACAGAGGCACTACAGCCTTGGGTCTACCACCGCTACAGGCATCCCTATGAAGGTGAGTCTTGTAGGACCATAATTCAGAGGCACTACAGCCTTGGGTCTACCACCGTTACAGGCATCCCTATGAAGGTGAGTCTTGTAGGACCCTAATACAGAGGCACTACAGCCTTGGGTCTACCACCGCTACAGGCATCCCTATGAAGGTGAGTCTTGTAGGACCCTAATACAGAGGCACTACAGCCTTGGGTCTACCACCGTTACAGGCATCCCTATGAAGGTGAGTCTTGTAGGACCCTAATACAGAGGAACTACAGCCTTGAAGGTGTCTTGTAGGACCCTAATACAAAGGCACTACAGCCTTGAAGGTGTCTTGTAGGACCCTAATACAGAGGCACTACAGCCTTGAAGGTGTCTTGTGTAGAACCTTAATACAGAGGCTCTACAGCCTTGAAGGTGTCTTGTAGAACCCTAGTACAGAGGTACTACAGCCTTGGGTCTACCACCGCTACAGGCATCCCTATGAAGGTGAGTCTTGTAGGACCCTAATACAGAGGCACTACAGCCTTGGGTCTACCACCGTTACAGGCATCCATATGAAGGTGAGTCTTGTAGGACCCTAATACAGAGGCACTACAGCCTTGGGTCTACCACCGCTACAGGCATCCCTATGAAGGTGAGTCTTGTAGGACCCTAATACAGAGGCACTACAGCCTTGGGTCTACCACCGTTACAGGCATCCCTATGAAGGTGAGTCTTGTAGGACCCTAATACAGAGGCACTACAGCCTTGGGTCTACCACCGTTACAGGCATCCCTATGAAGGTGAGTCTTGTAGGACCCTAATACAGAGGCACTACAGCCTTGGGTCTACCACCGCTACAGGCATCCCTATGAAGGTGAGTCTTGTAGGACCCTAATACAGAGGCACTACAGCCTTGGGTCTACCACCGTTACAGGCATCCCTATGAAGGTGAGTCTTGTAGGACCCTAATACAGAGGCACTACAGCCTTGGGTCTACCACCGTTACAGGCATCCCTATGAAGGTGAGTCTTGTAGGACCCTAATACAGAGGCACTACAGCCTTGGGTCTACCACCGTTACAGGCATCCCTATGAAGGTGAGTCTTGTAGGACCCTAATACAGAGGCACTTCAGCCTTGGGTCTACCACCGTTACAGGCATCCCTATGAAGGTGAGTCTTGTAGGACCCTAATACAGAGGCACTACAACCTTGGGTCTACCACCGTTACAGGCATCCCTATGAAGGTGAGTCTTGTAGGATCCTAATACAGAGGCACTACAGCCTTGGGTCTACCACCGTTACAGGCATCCCTATGAAGGTGAGTCTTGTAGGACCCTAATACAGAGGCACTACAACCTTGGGTCTACCACCGTTACAGGCATCCCTATGAAGGTGAGTCTTGTAGGACCCTAATACAGAGGCACTACAACCTTGGGTCTACCACCGTTACAGGCATCCCTATGAAGGTGAGTCTTGTAGGATCCTAATACAGAGGCACTACAGCCTTGGGTCTACCACCGTTACAGGCATCCCTATGAAGGTGAGTCTTGTAGGACCCTAATACAGAGGCACTACAGCCTTGAAGGTGTCTTGTAGGACCCTAATACAGAGGCACTATAGCCTTGAAGGTGTCTTGTAGGACCCTAATACAGAAGCACTACAGCCTTGAAGGTGTCTTGTAGGACCCTAATACAGAGGCACTACAGCCTTGAAGGTGTCTTGTAGGACCCTAATACAGAGGCACTACAACCTTGAAGGTGTCTTGTAGGACCCTAATACAGAAGCACTACAGCCTTGAAGGTGTCTTGTAGGACCCTAATACAGAGGCACTACATACTTGGGTCTTCCACCATTGAAGTCATGTCTTCACCTACCCTTTGCCAGCTGTGTGCCATGAGACATTATCAAACTTAAACCCTATTTACATGATTTTCTTCAGCCTAATGAAAACAGTGGAATTCAGTGTCCCGAAAGCCTCGCTTCAAACACCCATAGGCAATATATGTAAAAAGCCTAAAGTCCCATCAAATCAAATTAGTTGTCACTCGATGAGACAGCCAGAAAAGAAAGAAATGTTTTTTTTTCTCTTTGCTTCAGGAATTATCTTTTCTAGACATGTAAAACTAACTTATCAATAAACACTGTCTCTATATGTCATTAACGTTTGCCTGAAATACCATCGCAGCCAGAGAGGGGGCATCTTCCGTTAAGAGTATATCACATCTGGTTTGGTGTCTTTAAGTTGGTAACGAAGACATTTACTGGTAACAGCAGTATCACACGGGGGAAGAAGACCGTGGGATCACCGTGTACTGACAGTAGTCGGTACTGATTACTGGCAAAACACTGGGCGATTACATTGTGTTTTTGATTACTTGGGGAAAATGGTCACTGACCTGTTGAAATACTGCACATGTCGTTGTTGATTTAGTCATTTTGTGGTGATTTTTCTTATAGATTATGAGTATTGATTGATTCTTGTCCTGCTACTGCTTCTGATGCAGGTTTATCATGTCATGACTCGCCACCATTGATTCAGGGGACTGGGGATGATGGCAGGGAAGTCACATTAAAGGGGTTCTTTGAATTGACTGCATTTGTGTTTTCTATGTAAGAAATCTTCTTTCAATAGGAATTCAACTCTGTTGTATTTTATGGGTGCAAATTCCTAAGATTTGTTTAATATTTTTATTTGGGAGATTAACCTTTTGTGTTTTCAATTTAAAGGTTTCAAAAGTAGATTATATTTATATTTTTATTTAGATCATATTTATTGAATCGAATTTCTTATTCAATCATTGTTGGTAGGCATTTTGAAAACATATTTACAACTACGGTCCACGTTCTAAATGCCTGAAATATATGTGGGTAGAGCATAATGATTTAAA